TCTGCTCACGGCCGGGGTGTGCTGATGTCCTCAGGCATCTGGTTGGACCATGGCCCTGAAGCTCAGCCAGCTCCTCCGTGACCACCAATGCTGTCCGGTGTTCCGGTCTTGCCACCGGGAGTCTCACCGGGAGCCCACAGAGAGCACTATCAGGGTCCTCCTGCCTGTCACAGACTATGATGCCTCACTGGGTCAACTGGAGTAAGGAAACTGGATTAACCAACTCAGCACCTCCACAGCCTGGGAAGCGGAAGACCCACCACCCGGGTGGCCCGTCACCCGGATGGTGTAAGTGGGGGCACACAGGAGGACACATCTGCTCTTGTGCTTTTGGAGGAGCCCCAGTCTTTGCCTTCACTGCAGATGTCATCTTCCGGCTTCCGGTACAGACGCTTCGGCTCCCGGCAACGACCTGGTATAGACTGCCCAGCCGTCCTTGGTCCTTCTGTGAGGACGCGCGCAGGACACTGCGGGGAGCTCTGGGACCCTAACTCCTCCTCCTCCTCCTCTCCCTCCCGCTCCTTCTTTTTCAAATCCATTTTATTTCAAAGAGAAAAGAAAAAACACGAGATTTCAAGATGTGAATCGGGGGCAACAGTGGCCCACACCTTGCGCATCCCCAGATGACTCACCCAGAGCTGGGACACCCACATTCAGTCTCCGAACGGTGCCAGCCCCGACCTCCCCGCAGTGAACGCAAAGCCCTCAGCAGTGAACCGCCCAGACTTTTCTGTACAAACATCTGTAGGCGCACACGCTGTGAATTTTAGCTTCCGCACCACCGATGACCACACCAGCGATGTCCACACACGCGTGTCTGGCTCACTGACCGCCGCGTGCGCTCCAGACCTCCTGGACCCATCCCTGCGGCCAGGCCTCTCTGAGCGCTGCCTCTCGCAGCTCGGCAGCGGACCTGCGGGCCAGCCCGGCCACTCCCTCCGCGCTGTCCGCTGTGTCCGTCTCTGCTGGCGATGCAGAGGGCAGTGCGTGAATACAGCTTTGCCCTTCCCATGGCATGCCGAGTCCTCCATGCTCACAGCGCATCCTGCCCTGTGTGCGGCCTCTATTTGCCTTGCCTAATACTCCGTCATCTTCCCGGGGTCGGTGCCGCCACTGCTGACCAACGATGCCTGGCCCTGCGCCTGTACCACACTTCACAACCATCACCTCCAGGCAAGGCGGTGGTTGTTACTGCCTCATTGCCCCAGGTCCCACGGCTAACATATGACGGTGGATGTCTTGGTGGCTTCACTACAAAAGTTAAGAAGACCCCACTAAATTAAATGAATTATGATGCTGGCACTTGCCCCACAGATAGGTAGGTGCCCAGCAAGCATGACTTGAGCGACTGCATGACTGTAGACAGCCACAGCACTTCACACGGCTGCCGCCAGGGGGCAGAAGCTCACCACAGTCCTACCTTTGGTCTCCCGTGGGATTGAGCCCTGCACTGACCCGCCGGTTCTGACCGGGTCTGCCTATTCCATCATCAAAACATTCATACTGGAGTTGTTTCACTCAATCTTTTTTTGGTCAATAAGACAGCAGAACTTCAATGTGGATGTAAAACCCCCCAAAGTTAGAGGGTTTTTTTTCATTTTTCTGCTCAGAAAGCCTATAAATTTATAGTTAAGAATTTCTCACATATTTTCAATATTAAAAATATTCAACAAGTAATAAAGGCAATCACGATTTTAAAAGATGTTTTATAACATTTTCATATTTTTATGTTATATAATTTTCATGTATAAAAATGTTAAGATGTAGGTAATGAAAAAGTGAATTACCAGCAATTCCAACAGGGAAACAATTGTTTTAGTATATGTTCTCCCAGAGGTTTCTTTACTCATCTGCAAAACCTATTTTAAAAATCAGGATCAAGCCAAGACACAATTTGTAAATCTTAACTCTTGTCTATAGTTTCACTATTACTGTTACTGGAGAATGTTTTAATGAGACTTCCTAGATCTTTTAAAATCCTTTCAACTTAGCTACGGTTGGTTACTAATAAATATGCTTTTGAATATGTCATTGTTCACTATATACTTCTTTGGGGAATTCTCTGAGTGAAAACTTATTTTTTTATTCTCTTTTCAGTTAAAAACAGCAGCATCAAAACACTGAGAAAGTAACTCACCTGCAGAAGTTCTTTCACGATGGTTATTTTCACTTTGAAGAAATTGCTCCTCCCCCTCACCTCTTCTTACCCAAAACATGAGGACACTGTTCTGGACTGGATCCAGAGTGACCCCTGAATCTCCCAGGGACTCCAAGGCAGAGCGTTTGGGAGGTAGTGGACACCAGCTGACCTGCCCTTGGGAGGCAAATAAATGGACGCACCCTGGGTAAGTTTAGACAATGGGACTTACTTAGTGCTTTAAAAAAAAAAAAAAAAAAAAAAAGCTATTAAGCCATAAAAGGTACGGAGGAGAGGGCTGGGGCTTTAGCTCAGCAGCATAAGCACCTGCCTTGCAAGCAGGCGGTCGTGAGTTCGATCCCCATTACCGTTTAAAAAAAAAAAAAAAAAAAAAAAAAAGCTAAAAAGTATAGAGAATTAAAAGCATACTGCTAAGTGTAATACGCCAGCCTCAAACAGCTACTTATTACATAATCCCAATGAAACGGACAGTGAAGGGGGGGGGAGGGAAAGATGCGTGGGGAGCGCACAAGGGATGCTTAGGGGGGTGGGAAAACACCCGTGATTCAGGACAGATGGACCCATCATTATAAACCTGTCCAAACTTGCAGCATAGGACACGGGTTGGGGGAGCCTAAAGTGAATGCCCACCTCGGGTGATAGCGGTTGTTAGCCTAGGTCCATCGCCATTTGGCAGGAGGTGTGGACAGCAAGTGAGTGTGAGCGTGAGTGGAGGCAGACGGCTCCACAGCACAGAGCACGCTGCTGCTTCCCGCTGTCAGGCATCAAAATATCTGAGAAATTTATAACCCAAGAACCAGTGGCAAGCACAAACACGCAGACTTGCGGCACTAGGTTTAAAATGAAGCTAAAGGGACAGGATACACTTCTAGTTTAGTGACACAGAATAGTGAGTTTCATCCTGGCATACTGCCGCTGGTACATAACATACGTCGATTATTCTGACCCAACCCTGTCATGGTTTGCGTCAGTGGCCCCCAAGCCTCCTGAACTACGGATTTGACAAAATCTAGCACTTGATTGGCTCACTGTCTAGCGCTCCGATTGGCGGTGTGTGTTTCACCCGCCCAGGGGTGGGGTCAGGATATGATGTAATGATGGGAAGGAGTCTCTTTCAGGTTTGCACCTTGCTGTTTGCAGCCTTGGTTAACAGGGGCCCTGGCATGCCACCCTGCCCTGGAGCCAGTTGAGTATGGACTGAAACCCCTAAGAGCTGTAGAAATAAAACCTTTCCTTCCCCAACTTCGGGTATCAGGTAGTTTGTCCCAGCACTGAGCAAAAAGTAAGCAAGACAAAACCCGGGGACCCCTTTTTCTGGCCTCTCCCTCTCATCCCTTTCCTGTTGTCTTACAGGCTGCCTCCAACCCTTCTATCAGCTCTCCTTGTTTTAGACTCCTGAGGTTCCCGTGGTCCAACTGATTACTGTTCATTAAAAATTGGTCTCAGGTGTTCTTATAACAGCATGAAATGTGGTGATCCCTGGCTAAAATGGAACGCATTTACCAAACCTGAGGTTTCTGTCGTTTATAAAATGGGCATTTTATTTACTCTCATCAGGAAGAAATGAGCTGTCCATAAAGCACATTAATAAAGCAGCAGACCCATAAACAGTAACTGACACACAGTGCAAATGTAAGCCCAGTTCTCTTGGCACCTTGCTCTGGCTCCACTGTTGCACTGGTCAGGGTTTAGCTGGACACTGGCTAGTTAAGCAGATTTACCTAAAATTCACCCACTCCAGAAATAATTTAAACACATAAATGTACACAATTCAGTATTTTTTCTTCTCTCATGTGTGGCCTCTGTTTAATGTTTAAAATGCTGGCTGGGTTCCAGTGAACTGATTCATGACTGATAACGGAGCAGGGAAGGGCGGTTACACAGCGCACTGTGGACAGACTGAGACAGGCAGCAGCTCCAGGGGACCTGGGGCCTGTGTGACTCACACCTCAGTCAGGCCTGAAGCTCACGGTGTAACAGACGGTGCACCACGGTGCACAGGGGTCCGGGAAACAAAGTGAAGGAAAGTAAACTGGCGGGAGTCACAAACCAAGCCAACCCCTGGAACGGGTCCCATTTCTGCAGTGAAATGCTACTGACTCAAATATGCGCTCGGGACAGAAAGACCTGGCTCAAGCACATACAAACTAACATTTAATTTTTTTCTTGTTTAACTGTATTTTCTCAGACACGAGCTACTAACATCATTTCAGTGTAAGCCTCAGGCAAGTATACCTTGCACAATTTCCCTGGTGAGAAAATTCGGAGATCTCCACATTACATTCCCTTCGATAAACATACCTCTAACCTAGTCAAAAAGATTATGGGTGGGGCCTGGGAGAGAATCAGGAAGCACCGTCAGAGTGAGGTCCCCCACCCCCAGCAACTGGCTGGTTTGGGAAAAAGCAGGCTGAGAGGGCAGCAATGGAGTAAAGAAAGAACCCATCCTGTGTCCTTTGATCAGTTTTGCAGACCAGAAGCCGGTGGTCTGGGCATCTCCTTGAAGACAATAACAAACACTATAGTAACGATGGGGCCCTTCCTACTGTCTTCCTGCCAGTATCGCTCTCACTGCTTTGTTTGGTTTCACTCCCTGAAACAATATTATAAAAGTTTATAAAAGGGATAAAAGTAAGTGAGCAGAATGTTTGTACCTTCATATAACCTTAACTAAAATGCAAAACCAAACCAAAGCAAAAAACAGTTTAGCAAAAAGTCCACAAGGAATAATTTTCAGCTCTTCTGTTGACACCTTTTTTTAGTTCATTGTATGCAACTTCTATCTGTAAAAAAGTACAGGAGTACTGAGTAAAAGCCATTATCTTTATAAATTAAAGCAACATTATTTTGAAAAAGTACTGTTTATTGAATTAAATGCAGTTAACTAAAAATTGGTACCTAATTAACACCTGATTTTAAATTTTGCATTAGGTTGTCACAAATGGTACCTATACACAGCCTTCAATCGCTGGTTACACACACAACAAAGGAAGTTTCTCAGTGAAGCTCACAGAACTGTCATCAGCAAAATAAGAATTTCAAGTTTACAGATGCACAAAACATCAAAACACTTCAGCCAAAAACATCTACTTTTAAGAAAAAAAGGGCATTTTCTCACTCTTGAGCCCAAATTTTATTTAGTTCTTCCCAGTGGAACCAAAGCCTCCAGAGCCCCTCTCGGTGCTGTCCAATCCCTGGAAGACAGAAAGCTTTTGTCAGTTCTTCCTGTCAGCTCCTGGTGTGAGCCGACTACTTCCGGAGTTATCCTTTCATCTTAGAAACTTTAAAAAGGATCCATATGTTAGGAAATAGGATAATCGCCCAAATGTTAGAATTTCACAAATAATCAGACAAAGTAATGCTACACAATTTTCTCCATGAAAAACATTTCAAGACATTCTAAAACTATGATTTGGATTTTGTTTAAAACACGTGTAGTCATGCAAAACAGTCACAAACACCACGCGGGACCCTAGCTCACGGATTCTCTTCTGCGAGGTCTCATCGCTCTGGGTTCAGTTTATGACACTTACTTCAACTTCTTCTATTTCTGGGTAATAAATCCGTTCACAGATGAGCTGGGCAATTCGATCACCTTTCTTCACTGCAATGGAGAGAACAGGAGCTTATATCTTCCCTTGTTCAAGTCAGCACCAACACATACGTGACTTAGAACACTCACTAGGTTTATGTGAGCATGTTTCAAATACCTTCAAATTTTTCTTTGCCAAAATTAAAAAGCACGACACCAACGTTGCCTCTGTAATCTTCATCGATGACCCCAGCTGAAGGAAGAGAAGCCATGTGTTGGTTTCTGCTATCAGAACACTAGGATTATACGATTATTTAAAAATTGTTCTCATACAGCTCTGAACATTTTATTCTTGCAAATGATTATGTACATCTTGCTCAGATAAAAAAAAAAAAAATCACTAAATGCAAGAAGCCTAGAAAATGGGCCCTGATTTTCTAGCCTGTCACCCTCATCAAATGGTAACCAATTCCTCCGCTGGGCTGGGCACAGCAATAACCCCTAACTAACGCTAAGAAGCCCAGGAGCATATGACAGCTGACTTCAAAGGCTTCTGATGCAGCTTCCCGCTAACACTCAGGCCGGCGTATGCCTGAGTCATAAACAAAATGCCAGAGCACTGAAGGACCTGCAGCAGAACAGGCCAGTGCTGGCAGTGCGGGTAGCTGCCTTACGAGGATCGGACATTCCGGGTTCAGATCCTTCTTTCTGTGAAATCTGAGAATACATGTGCTTATAACTGTAACAGAGCGCCCTTCTCCACCTGCAGTTGGTACCTCTCTGCGATGACCAAGAAGAAAGCAGACAAACTCTGCAGGAGACCTGGGCCACCGCCCGTCCCAGCCCACGGGGCTGACCACACTTGCTGGAATTCATGGACCAAGAGCTTTGAATGACTCCACACACACCGGCACAGGTCCACCACGCCTGCTGACTTTCTTTTAACATTAGGCGCTGATTAACCTAAGAGTTAAAGTGTCTTGTGCAACTCGTTTATGACACTGTGACCCTGGAGAGATGCCCTCTCCCTCCCGCCCAGCAGTCCTCCTCATCCCCGACTCCTGCAGCTCTGAACTAGGGAAGGCCGCTGAGGTTCCCAGGACCCTAGGGAGTACAGTGCCACGCCACAGCTGTGCTGGTAAGCAACTCGCTGCATCCAAAACAAAACCACCCGCCTCTCCAGTGGGGAGGAGATAAGCACAGTCACAGATGTAGCTTGGTGGCTAATGGGGCTGTCTGGCCACACTCCAAATTACAGGAAGACCAAACTAAGGGAAAGCTCCCTCTACAGGAGCAAAGGTCACTCCAGCTAATGCTTTAGTTCTGCCTTGGGGGAAAACACTCACAAAAACCAATTGTTCAGATTTTTCCAGTGGATTGCAGATATTTAAATGAACTCCTCTGCTAACTGAAAGGATTATGAAGGACATGTGAAACTAAACTTCAGTGCTTCTTAAAAGCGCTGATGTAACACCTGAAAACTTGAACTACAGATAAACACATTTTAACAAGGAGAGGTGTGAGGACAGGAACAGGCTGAGACGCCACCCTTAGCTAGGGTGGCACCAAGATGCTGGACAAGGACAGAGCAGCTCCCCTGACGTCAGACTGCAGGGTGGCGTCTACACTTTTCCTAGGGGCCCGGCAGCAGAATTCACCAAGGGAAATACAAACTCTTATTTCTGTCTGCACCGCCGGCTGCCCACTCCGTCAGGCCTTAGCAAAGGACTGATGTAACGCCGGGGCTCCCAGATCATCTCCACGAAGCAGACCCCGCGGGCAGGGACTGGCAGCGGCACAGTACGTGGCTCAGTGGACCAATGACCGCAGCAGGCAGGAACCTCCACCCTGGCAGTGTCTGGGTGCAGGCCGACGCCCCGTCTAACCCAGCAGCTGAAGATAGACAGGCACTGCTGCTTCTACTTTGATGCACATTTTTAAAGTTATCCAAATGACATCAACGCACAAGTAAAAGCTGCTTCCCATCCCGGAGGCAACCAATGACAGCTCTTCTTACAGAGAACCCAGCTGACTGCTTCCACAGAGCCGCTAGCATAAAAAGGCGGCCTGATGTGATGGTGTTTTCCATTCCTTCGGACTTCAAAAGCCACTTTCCTGGCTCAGGGCAGGTACACGTTTCCACTATGCTCACTGCCCCAGGACCTGGACTGAGGCTGGGCCTCCCCTCTACCCTCGGGCAGACAGGGACAGGGCCTCTTCTGTATTTTGCCTATGCTTTTTTTCTTGTGTTCTTTTTCATGAGATGCAACTATTTTTTTTTTTTTTTTTTAAAGTTATGGTACTTTCTGACACACTAAAGCATCCCTTTCTGTAAAGGCCTCTGCATCTATCTGAAAAGGGTCCTGACAGCAGCAACCAAACAGCTGGGCTGCCTGAGTTCTACAAGGCCAAAAAGCCGACAAGGGTTTATGCTAGGGACACAAAAATGCAAAAAGTGTCTAAACCAAAATGAAGTTGTTTATAGGCAACTACTTTGAAGGCAGTAAGATTCACTGTGATGCCCATTCTGGTTTGACTATTATTTTCTTTTGAAGTCCTGTAATGTCTCCAATGTTTCGGTTTTATTGGTTTTATCCTATACTGTTTTGTTCTATTTTATTATACCTGATGATATAGGCAATTCCTTTTAAGGTAGCAAGAGGCATTTTGGTAACCATTGTTGATTACCTTGTACTCTATTTTTACATCATGTACTATGTCCATCCTTGTTTTGACTGACTGCTTTGTTTTGTCACATTTGGTTTTAGTCTCTTCCAAAAAAAAAGTAATTAAGAACTGTGGAGTAATAAAACCCAAAATGTGTACATGTTATTGTAAAAAAGAGAGGAAAAGAAAGTGCTCTAAAAGATACAACTGCAAGTGTGTTTAGGTGTGTAAGATAGATGACCATATTACTAAGTTTTTGTTGGATCATTGAACACAACTGTTGTAGTCTCACTGTTTGAATGTCCACTTTGTATGCTTTAATTTTGTAACTTGAACAACTATTTCTAAGATGACAATATGTAATCTATTAACTAGTGATTTCTTACTGTTTTTTTGAAATTCTGTATTACTTGTACCCTTTTATTTTTTTTCTTTAAATAAAATTTTTTAAAAAATGAGGTAGTTTGGAGTTATTGAAAACATATAACCACAGAAAAGGTTTTCAATTAAAACTTTTTTTTTTTTTTTTTTTTACTATGAGTAACAATGGTACACAAAATTCAATAGTTTCAATTTTTCAACAACTGAAATTGTTGCTCTATGTCAAAATGACCCCTCTTGACCCAGGACAAGTACTTGTGAGCATGAGAACCTCCTGAACTAGGGGTCGGGGAACCCTCACCTGTCTGTGCCCTCCATGGCAACCCCTGCTTTGTAACCACCCCCCATCCCACCCACTTACCCCCACCCCACCCCTACCCCCACCCTGCCAGCTGACAGCACCACCTGGTGACACCACAGGGAGACACCAGGCCCTTCCAAAAGAGCTGGCCAGGAGCAGGTCCTGGTGGCCAGGCCAGTGCTGCCAGCGGCTGCAGGACAGTGTGGGATGAGAAGTGGACAGGGGTGCTGCAGTCATGGGCAGGAACCCTGTTTTAAAGAGGTGCCATCTAAGTGCTTTCCCGCATCCACTGCCAAAGAGCTTATCCATAGGGCTCTGCAGAAATGGCAGAGGCCCAGCACTCACATCCTGCTCCTCCCTCACCCTCTGAGAGGTGAAGGTGACCTGAGGACGTCCTGAAGCATTGATCATTTAAGCCAACTGCAATTTACAATAATCACGCAGCCTTTCCTCCGACAAATCTCGCCTGGACTAAATGCAGATCGTTGCTACGCCAAGGCAGAAACCCAGCCTGGGAGACAGCCCTAGTTAGCGTACTGGCAAACTAACGCGTATCCACGTAACAGTCACCGGAAAATCAGACCCCATCAGAGACACAGCTGCTACATTCCAACCCTCTAGTACTTCACACCCAGACACCCCACAGAGGCAACACAACAAAATTCAACTCCTGAAAACACTAGTGACACCTGGCACTGGAATTACGTATACCTTTTAAGCAGACAAGTAAATACCGATTGATACAATTTTAAGTAAATATATTACCTCCAACATCTATGAAGTATTTGGTAGCCAAGCCAGAGCGTGGAGCTGAAAAACAAGAAGGCAGACAGGGCTGTTTTACAGCAGGATGAGCAGCACTGGGCACAGCCCCGCGGGTGACACGGAAGGCGCCTCAGTAACTTCCTCTTGGTTTTGTAGGGTTCTAAATTAAAATAACAGGCGCCACACCATATGACAAAAGTTAAAGGGGCTTGACTTCAAAGCCAGGTCAAAGGACTTGAGGCGATGGGTTTACTGTGGGCACTGGTATGCCAGGAGGGGGCTGTAAGGATGAACACAAGTGGGCAAGGGGCCAGCGCAGGTGGCCAAGGACATCTGACCAAGAGCGGGGAGACAACGGGGAGAAACAGAAACTGATAAAACAGCAGCTCTTGGCCTAGAACTGGCGACTCCCAGGCATGAATCCAAAGGTGACTTGTGTGAACTAGGAACCAGGGTAAAACACCCAACACCAGTCAAGTGATGCCAAAAAGTAGGCAGCAAAAATTCGATTCCTGTGGTATTTGTTTCTAAAAACAAAACAATCAAAAGCTGTTTTATCCTTTACATTTGCTAACTGAAGCAAATACCTAACTTTTTGTATTTTATTTCAGAATAATCTAAATCAGGCGCTTTGCCACTAAAAGTGACCCCTTTGTGGTTTGATCTGTCGCTGTCTCTTAAAGAGCACCACCCAGGACTCCGGAACAGTCCAGGGCAGAGCCACCATGCTTCTCCTCCCACTTGGGCCGAAAGGCCAGGAGCTTCTCTCACTGCTGATTCGGGGACCACTGGGCATCCTCCCCAGAGGCTCACGGCACATGTGGCCCTTCCATGTACCCTGAGGAACCTCCTGATCCATGCTCTTAACAACCAGTCTGTACAGTTACAGTCTGTAATGCTCTCTGATGACAAATGACTCAGAAACACACTTGCTATTTCTGTCCTGCTCCTCAGTGCAGGCACTTCCTCTCTGGGGCACACAGATATCCCTGCCACAGCCCCCCCAGGTGGTGAAGCCAGAGGCAGTCTTCAGCTGCCACGTGCCCCGGTCCACACCCCTATTTTCCTGTAAGGCACATGTCAGCTACTCTTCTCCTGGTCTTCATAGAGAGGCTGCCCTCCTACCGTCTAGAAAACCACGCCAGTTAAAAAGTCACTCAAGCTTTTGGTATTGCTGCGAGGAACTGGGAGAACCACCTCTCGGGTCCACATGAGCTTCTTCAAAGCTTGAGTAAGAAATCAGAAATAAAGGCAAGAGAGAGGGGGAAACAGAAAATAGAAATTATTTCGGATGGCTGTGCTTGCCACTATAAATTTTAGGTGGCACAGTCCTGGCGATGCCCAATGACACTAAGGTCACAGACTGACAAAGTAGTTACGTCTGAATCACTTACCGACTCTTCCATAGCACCCAGAAGGAAGCCCGATCTGAATGTCCGTTTTGACAAGCGCTTTCTCCATAGAGGGTATCGTGTAATCATAGGCACTAAGACATCGAAAGGAAGCAAGTGGCATTTATTTATAAAATTGTTCTCATTTTTCTGCTTTTGTGACAATGCACACGGAATTGCTTTAAATATAATTCATAAAATAGTCCATATGACCTTAGTTTTTATGACCAATCTTATCATGATGAATTTCCAATTCTTCTAGATAATGTTTATGAAGGTACAAGAAGGTATTTTCTTTTACTATACTGTTAAAATTACAACTGTAGGTAAAATAATTCTCAAAGTTTTGGTGGAGGGAAGGATGTCAGTTATAAATGTGTCTGTCACTGAAAACCAAGGTACCTCTTATTACAAGGGGTAGAAAAGCAGATTTTAAAGAGTATACACCCCACCAACATGGTGTGAAAAGAGGAAAAGAACGAAGAACTGAGGAAAAGGGATGAATCATAGCCAACACTGATGAAGCCCTTTCCTGTGTGCTGGGCTCGGCTCTAATTCTTTCGGTGCCTGAGTTTGCTCTGTCTTACCATGGTCACCTGCAGGATTGGAGAAGGGCAGGGGACAATGGGAGGGCAGAACTGGGGGAGGAGGTCACAAACTTCACTGGCTGAGGGACAAGTTAATGGCTCTCAGCAGTCCCCAGAGAGGGACGTGGCCACTTCCGGAGGAAGAAATCCTCTGAGGTCATGCTAGCAGATGCTGCTACTGGCGGTCTCCCCCTTGAAGGAAATTTAAGAAATTTTACAATGAGCAGAAGTGAAAGTCACTTTAGAGACTTCTAACTAAGTTTGATATTGCAGCGCAGAATGTCTGTTTCTTTCCTAGGAATAGCTTTCTTTAAACAGATAAACTCTAAAGGTATCAGTTCTGGACGTGGCAGTGCATGCCTGTAACTTCAGCACTCAGGAGGCTGAGGCAGGAGGATCACAGCAAGTCTGAGGCCAGCCTGGGCTATCCAGTGGGCCCTTGTCTTAAACAAAAGGCATCAGTGGCTTCTGCGACAGCCTCAGGATAAAGTCACCTATGTGTAGGAGGAGGAGGCTGCCTGAAATACCTTAGATCAAAATCTCCCCATAATCTGGGCCTAGCCACATTTTTGAAAGGCTCTAGTCAAACTGTATCACTAGTCTCTTATTCACTAAAATTAAGGAACTCGGCTACATTTCTTGCAGCTACAACAGCCTATAGCTCATTGTTTTGCCTTTCTATCTTTATATTCTCCCTGCTCCTCTTCTCTCCACTTGAGACCTTTAGTTCCTCTGTTCTGGGATGACCCGGGATGCCTTAACCAATCCTCCCACTTGGGGTTAGACCTTATACTCAACATCCGTTCCCTGCCAGCACCACTTTTCTCACTACCTTAAAGAGTCTAAGACCTGGATGCGGCAATCTAGTGAAACAAACGACAAAAAGTCAAAGGTAGAGGGAGGAACTGAGCTGCATTCAAGCCCTCAGGCAAATCCACCGGCCATTTCCCTATCCCGGCTCCTCCACTCCGGGACTGCAAACAGGGTAAGAGCGCAAGCTCGGCACAATGGGGAGAGGCGGCCTTGTGTTCCCACCGGGGCGCTGGCTGCAGTCCCCAGCCCCGGGCCTGAGGAGGCGGACAAGGAGCGTCCCACAGTCCCAGGCCACCCCATGAGAACAAGGTGAGGCTCCCGCCATCTTCCCCCGGGGAAGGACCGAGCTCCCGCCTGGCACTCTAACAGCTACATTCTGCACTCGTTGCCAAAGGCCCGCTGCACTAAAGCACGGCTAAGGGCGCAGGGACCGTGCAGGGCCCTGCTCACCTGTACAGGTCGTAGCCAGCGGCGCGCGCAGACCCCCGCGTCGGGGCCGTGGCATGCTCCGACAGCCGCACGAAGCGCAGCCGCAGGGCCGCCTCGGAGGGTCGGGCCCGCTTGCTGGGGGACACGGCGGCGATGTCTTCGGTGCAAGGCATGGCAGGCGGGAGGCCCGGAGGAGCAAGAGGATTGGAGAGCGCAGGGTGAGCGCGCAGCCAGGTCTCGCAGAGTTAATTTTCCCGCCCTCTCCGCCCATCGCGGAACAGGCCACTGCGCCGGCCGAGGGGAGCCCACATTCAAACTCTTTACGTTAAGGAAGTCTGAGATGAGGGACTCCTGCAGGCCGCCCTCGGAAATAGAGTTCTGAATTCAAAAGTCCTGGTCCGGAGTAGGGGGTCGGCTCCGGTGGATCGCCCAGGTGACAGAGGGCCACCCCCCATTCGTCAGGGTTCCCAAATGGACTCGCCCCGCCTAACCGCCAATCACGCCCACCCCCAGGCCCAGCCCGCATCCAGTTCCGCCGCCGGCCGACTCTGCCGCACACCCACCAGGTTCACATCCCCTTTTACCGGCTCTGCTGCAGCCTCCACGCGGGCTGCCGGCGCTGCGCAACGGGCGTGATCTCGAGAGTCCTCTCGGTCGCGCGTCCGGGAACGCTGCGTAGAGCCGGGATGCCAGCGCAGGGCGCAGGCGGAGGAGCATCATCCCCCAGCTGTGTATGGGGTGACCTGCATCCTGCTCTGCGAAGTGACCCCGGAAGCAGTCCGGGATGCCGCCGCCCACCAGTTCTGCGAAGTGATTGGCGGAGCTGGCTGGGGCGGGGCAGCCCTAACCCCCTGATGACTGTGTGTGCGCGTTTCCTTGACGCTGGAGTCGCCACGTGTTTCCGGAACTGGCACCGGAAAGCTGGAAATCAAATCCCAGTGCCCTTCAGATTTTCAAAACAAATGCGAAGTGTAGAGCAGTTTTGGAGAAAGTGGCAACTGGAAATGTTAGGATATTGTTGAGAACCAAGGGTTTCCTTAGCTGGTTCCTCCTCTAAAGTGTTTGAATCCTTGAGTAAGATTGGGAATTAAACGCTACCGCGAATTTCCCCGAGGCTTTAAATGTTGCCTGAGCTTTGAGCACACCCTCGTTGTGCTGAAATACTTTTTGTAGTTAGTTTGTAAGGATGTTCACGTGGGAAATTGGATCCTTGTTTATCTAAAACGTAATAATTACAACTACTCCCTTTTTATAGTCCCATAGCAGGATCTCCAGGAAATTTGTTTGCATCCAAGAGTGGCTTCCGCCTTTAATCGTATCTCTATAACACTTACTGTATCATTCGTAGTCATTTAGCCAATATGCCTTTTATCTTTCAGATTAGTCAGAGTCATATACTTTATGGTGCTTTTCAAAGCACCTGCTTGAGTGTTCTACAGATAGCCAGTGTTTTGACTTGGCATTAAAATATGTTCTGCAATTTTTTATGTTAATTCAAGTGCAGAAAGTGATTATTATCAGTTATCTGAACACTGATTCAGCTAGGTGCAACTGGGAAAGCACAAGTTAAGATTTTGAGCTAGTAAGGGTGTGATAGGACATTCTTTATGACAATGGAAACAGGATTCGATATGAGCACACACTTTAAATTCAAGACACAGCGGTTAAAAACAATCAGAAGTGTTCCAATCATAGTTTATGCTGAACAGTTATCAGTCATGCTGATTTTAATTCAGTTACATAAGCCTAGTGCCAGCCTGCATGCCTTGAGAAGGCCAGTCAGTACTTCACAAGCAAAACTGGCTTTCCGTACCTTTGCCATTATGAAACTATTTCTTTACAAAGGTGTGCACTATGACTATACCAGGTAGAGTGTGCTTTAAAATTACAGTATTAATTTAATCACAATCAAAAGAAACAGTGCTACCCCAAGTGCATAAAACACACAAACAGTACATACACAAAACTATAATGGAATAACTCACACATCACTGCCTTATTGTACTGTGAAAGTTCTGCAGGGTTAGAATACTTAACCACACACATTGGGGGCACATAGTTCTCTCTTATATACTCAATACTGAATCTCACTCAACTAATGTAATCCTGATGAAAACCTGACTGAGTTATGTTAGTGTGTAGTAAAACTACTGGGAGGCAACATGTCTGTAATTACATCCGGGGACAGATTATTCTTTCATTTTAAAGCATCATTGATGTAGATAAAAACAGATGGCAGGAAAACAAGTACCCACAGGAAAATCACTTGAGAGCTTGGTTAGAAGCAAATGTCCAAATCCCCACTACAGCTGCTACTTAGAGTCTCCAGGGTGATGGGGCTGCCCATCCCTGCTTAAAGGCCTACAGCTGTGGGGGTTATTTGTGGAGAATCTGCTGGGATCAGCACATCCTAGAAAGAGTTCCTTTCATAGACATAAAGCGTTACCTCCAGAGCCTCATAGAGGAGTTCAAAAGTGAAGTATTTAAGGAAAAAAAGCATGATATAAGTAGAATAGTTAGAGAAATGCTAAGCACCACCCAAGAAAAAACAGATGGTGGAATGGAAGAACAGAAAAAAAAGGGAGAATTGTTTGATGGAGAAAATAGAGAAAACAGAATATGTGAAGCAGGTTCAAAGAGATTACCAGGAAACTAAAAACTCTTGAAAGCTGGCATAACAGCTTGAAAGAAACTAAGGATAGATTATCTGAACTGGAAGGCAGATTTGTAATGTGGGAGCATGAAATAAAAAACTTCTTAAAAATAACAAGAAAACAAACAGCAATAATACAAAGACTAGAAGATGATAAGAGGATCTATAACTTAAGAACATAAAAGAAAAAGTAGGGACACAAACAAATGAACTACAAAACCTATTCACAGAAATAATTCAGGAGAATTTCCCTAAATTAGCAAAAGGTAAAGATACTCAGATGTATGAGGCATACAGGACCCCAGCCACCTACAACCCAAACAGAGCTACACCCAGGCATATAATAGTCAAAATTCCAGAAATCCAATATAAGAACAGAATATTTTTTTAATATTAAATTTATTACTTTATTTGTTAATATTAAGAAGAAAAGGTAAAACAAAGTTTCACAACAAAATAATGAAATAGTAACAATTGTTGATAAATTACACAACATTATCTTTAGTTACTCAAGTACAAAATATGGGCATAAAAATTGCTTCAATCAACATTAGCACAACCTTTCCTATTCATTGAACTAAGTGACACTAATGGTATAACTAACTTGCATTTTTTTCTTTTCCCTTCTATCCTTTCTCTTTTCAAGAACAGAATATTAAAAGCCGTCAGAGACAAGAAACAGATCACTTACAAGGGAACACCCATCAGAATTACAGCAGACTTCTCGGCACAAACCATCAAATCACAAAGAGCGTGGGGGGAAATAATTCAAGCTTTGAAAGATAATAACCTCCAGCCAAGATTGATATATCCTGCACAACCGTCCCTAGAAATTGATGGAAAAGCAAGGTGCTTCCAGGATAAAGAGGAACTAGGGGAATTTGCAACCACCAATTCAACTCTACAGAGAATACTGCAAGATATTCTAAAAAATGAAGATACCAAGATTCCAGAAACAGTGGCAGAGAGGCCACAATGAATGGAGCAGAAAGCAAAATGAAGAAGACAAACTGACAATAAAGGACAGAAAAAGAGCTCAACAGAAATGAGGCAGAGAAGATCAGAAGGTAGGAACAGCTCTTTTGGAGAAAACAAGACATCATAATAGCTAGTGCAGATTTAGTATCATCTTGTTTTGAAGTCCCATCAAGCTTTTATTCTTCTGTCTCCATCTGTCTTAACAGGTTGTATCTTACTGGATTTTATTATATGTGATAATATAAACAAAAACTTTTATAGACAAGGAGATTATACAGAAACCACTGTTTGTTTTCTGATAGTTAGTTCTAAATACCCTGTAATACTGTCATTCTCTGAATGGTTTTACATTGTCTTCATATGTTTGGTGCTACAGTATACGAAGTTGTACTCAAAGATTTCAAGGAAAGAGACACTATAGTAGTAACTACTTTTATGTCGGGATATCTTGTGGTGAAACACTATTTTGCTTAAATGGTTATGTTTTGACCTGCGCTGTTTTGTTGTTATGTCCTCTTTTATCTCAATCTCCTTTTCTTATTATTTACTTTTTTATTTTATCTTTTTAATTAAGGGAAAAATAAATTTAAAAATAGCAGGATATATTATAGCAACCCACTTTGATTTCCTGTTAACTTGATTTAAAACCCTGTATTGCTCTTACCATTTTGTTTTGACTGATTTTCCTCTATTCTGTTTTACTTGATAGGACCAAGTTCGAAAGTATAGGCAACAACTGTGAAGACAATAAGATTCATTATGATGCCCATTCTGGTTGACTATTATCTCTTTTGAAGTCCTGTAATGTCTCCAATGTTTGGTTTTATTCTTTACTGTTTTGTTCAATTTTATTATAACTGATGATATAGGCAATTCTTTTTATTTTATTTTTATTTATTTATTTATTATTTTTGTCTTTTTCCTTTTTACCGGTACTCACGACTGCCTGCTTGCAAGGCAGGCACTTATGCCACTGAGCTAAATCCCCAGCCCCAGCAATTATTTTTAAGATAGCAAGAGGCAGTATGGTAACCATTGTTGATCACCTTGTATTTTGTTTTTACATTATGTATTATGTCCATCCTTTTGATTTGACTGACTCTGTTCTGTTATGTCACATTTGTTTTTACTCTCTTCAAAAAAAGTAATAAGAACTGTGGGAGTAATAAAACCCAAAATGTGTAATTGTCATTGTACAAAAGAGAGGAAAAGAAAGTGCTCTAGAGGATATAACTACATGTATATTTAAGTGTATAAGATAGAAAACCATATTACTGAGTTTTGTTGGATCATTGAACAGAACTGTTTGCAGTCTCACTGTTTGAAAGTCCACTTTATATGCTTTAATTTTGTAACTTGAACAACTATTTCTAAGATGATAATATGTAATCTATCAACTAGTGATTTCCTACTGTTTATTTTTTCTGAAATTCTGTATATCTTGTACCCTTTTTCTGTTTTTTTTTCTTTTTCTCCTTAAATAAAATTTTTAAAAAAAGAGTTCCTTTCACATTTAACCAATGTTACCAGCTTTATCAAACCTACCTCATTTTTTTTTTAAAAATAGAGGCTCCATGATCTTAAATAATACAAGCAGGGCCAGGGTCTTTGTTCTCAGAAATACATCTAGGGTTCTGTGTGTGTATGTGTGTGTGTGTGTGTGTGTGTGTGTGTGTGTGTGCATCCTACTGTTCCTAAACTGCATCCTACTCTTTTACAAAAGATTATAAAATAAGATCTTGATAAATCCTTAGGTTGACCAGAGTGGAATTGACCCTTTTGCCTCAGCCTCCCAGAATGCCAGGATTAAAGACAGGTAATCTTGAAATTTTTAAAGTACACTGAATTTCTTGGTTTTACCTATGTGCTTTATGGAATGCCCCAGACATATAACCACAGAACTGTGTTGGTTTTTTTTTTTTTTTTTTTTTTTTTGGCTTGTTTGTTTTGTTTTGGGTAGGGATATATTTAGCAGTCTTTCTCTTGTAATTAATGGAAGCCAAATAGAGTTAGCTTAGTCAACAAAGAATATTTGTTGGAAGGATAATATAGTATATTTGACCTAAGCCCCTGGAAGGCAGGCAGTAGGGGAAACCTTGTGATTAAGTTTTTTACATTTCATCTTGATGTTTGTAGTTCAATTTGGCA